AACGATCCTCGAATATCTGAAAATCCTCTGAGCGATGTCTAGAATTTTCATTACCAACAGACGGATGAGACGGTAGGAGCGACAATCTTTTGGGGCGCGACGATTATAAATGCAAGAACGAACGCTTTATTGGCATCTTATCAAAAATATTTCCAAGAACAGAATTTTCAATTACATCGGCAAGTTAAATATCTCATACAAAAACAATACATCTTCAGATGATTACTGAATCTGCTTTCTCGATATTTTTTTCCATACCATAATCTACGTACTAATACGCACATTATATTAGCCTTCTGGGTCTAAGACTTGCTGGTTGTATCACGATGTTTCCTCCACTGTGCAAGCATGTGTATGTTGCGATTATAGAAAGACATCACGATCACGACACAAAGACACGTCGATCTCATCTAGTTTAAAAAAAAATATATTTGACGTGTAAACCCAGACCTTGTGTGATTGAAACGCACAAGGTCATAGCGTAAAAAAAGCTTTTCTGCTTAGGTTACTATTTATTTGCACCTCGAAAAGGCAACTCCATTAGCGAAATGAGAATCGTGGAATGAATAGAGGTCATTGAAGAGACGTCGTGTGTCACAAAGGTAAAAGGAAGAGCGGTGGGACGTTTCCAAAAGCAAGACTTAAGGAGCGGGGGGTCCGTTTTATGTTTGAAGAAATTATTTTCTATAAGATTATATTCTTTTGATTAAAACTTTCATTGATGTTAAATAGGATAACAAAGCTTTGTTGTATGTTATTTATGTATAGGGTTAGACGCCCTTGTTTTTTAAATATTTATTTAATTATCATAGTCCAATAAATTATTTATTATACATAGTTATAGTAATGGATTAATTATAATCTGATTACATATTTAAATTAAAAAAAAATATTGAAGTAAGTCGAACTTTATATATAATATATATAGTAGTAGGCCATCTACCGAGGTATCGAAGGTATCGAACCTAGTACTTAACGTTGAATATGAATCGCTAAGGAATATACGCATACACTTTTTAAGAACGTATTAGTTATACGAAGCGAACTTATCTAAACTTTCTCATCGTTCCACTTTACAAAATCGATACAAGGCACAATGGTTATATCCATACATCGTAGTGCAAGAGAACATTCGGATTTGCGATAACGAATGCAATTTTCCAACTTCGTGAGCAGGAATCTTCTAGATCTTTTCTGCTACCAGCTTTATATTTTACACTTAATGCTATAAACCAATCAGATCTGTATTATGCGTATTCTGACTCTAAACAATGCTATATGGTATTTAAATACATTAGTTGGGCCTGGGTTCGATAACATATGAAAGAGAAATGGGTGTGTACACTCTTCAATATGTAATGGAAATCTAAATTTTAGTCTTTACTTATCCCTTTTGTGATTAATTTTTTTAATTTTTTAATTTAATTGTTTAATTCAGAAAACAAGGTTCCATAACAATGTTAGTAAATTACAGCTTAATACCTTAAATCTAAGTGTTAGTATGTTTACATTAATTCATACCGGAATCATTCCGCATGAAATAGAGGAACAGTGATTCAGGTATGGGCAATCGACTCGGTCCGCGATAATGCGGAGGATACCGTTACCGCTAGCTCTCACCCTGCGCACCAAGGATGCACATCTCTTGCGTATGGTCGGGCGTAAAAACAATCCACCCGCGCCTCAGCAAATGCGATGTCCCGCAGCGCTGCAGAATCGAGGCAGCCGCAACAGCACCCTGAACGCATTATTATATTGGATACGGAAAGCGTTGTATGACAATCGAGTATATTTCGACCATAAGGCGCTCGTATAGAATGATGTGCAGAATGCTCTAAACAAGGTTACTTTCACATCAATTGAGCATCGTGCAAACCTGCGGGCGATCATGTTCGCCCTGACACACAACGCTCTCCGTTCCCTATCTATATCAGCATCGTCCCTGAGGTCGGGTGTCAAAATGTGTCCAAGATATTTAAATGTTTTTACAATTTTTAAAGGGACCCCATATAGCGACATGGGGGGTATACTGGACACACCCTTCCAACCGGCCCCAAAGACCATGACTTCACTTTTATTTACATTATATTTCAAACCATGACTAGCCGCATATACCTCACAGAGCTTAAGGAGACGTCTAACCCCGCAGACCGACGCACTCAGCAGCACCATATCGTCTGCGTAGCTGATATTGTTAACGCACACACCGTCCACGTGACAGCCGACACGCTCGCTGCTAAGCGTCTCAATCAAAGCGTTTATATATAAATTAAAGAGAGATGGAGAGCTCAGTCCACCTTGTCTTACTCCACACTGCATCGTATAGGGCTTAGACAAGGCACCCATCCATTTAACATTATTGATTTGGTTACCATACCAAAACTTAAATACGTTCAGAAGTTCTTGAGGAACACTTATATCCTCTAGCTTCTTCCAAAGTAGATCGTAGCAAACCAAATCAAATGCCTTGGAAAGATCAAGGAAACAGGCATATACCGCCGTCCTCCGACGCAGATAGTATGAAAAGGTGTGCTTAAGACTCAGTATAGCACCATCTGTAGACAGCTTGGGTCGAAACCCAAACTGGTTATCGTGCAAATGTAGATATTTATTTAACTGAGTATTAAGCAAACCGTCCAACACCCTAGCCAAAATAGTCGCCAGCGATATAGGCCTGTAGTTTGAACCATCCGCCAAATCTCCTGTCTTGTTTTTTACAACCGGTATAACTAATGTTCGCATAAGATCATAGGGTAGATATGAATGACTTATACACAACGAGTATAGCATGGCTAATAACCTATATATATGAGAACCAGCGTACTGTATATCGATGCTTAACCCATCATGACCAGGGACTTTCCTCTTGACATAGAACTTATAACGCTTCTTACATGTTTGGCGCTAAATTGAGTATTAACCCTATCACCAATGGGTACAGCACCGAGTTCGTTTCGCGACGGTCTCAGCGAGGATGATATATAGAAGTTAAGATTAGATTAAGAAATCAAAGTGAACGGCTGAATACAATATTTGTAACGAATAAACTTTAAAACGTTCAGACGTGCGAACAGGGACATACCGCTAATATATATGTACAGTTAAGCAACGACAGGAATGGTACCAAGTATCAAATTTTTAAACTCATTTCGATAATTGAATGCTACATTATTTGGTTAGGAACCTAATAAGCATTTGGAATAATAGAATTTATATAAATCGATGTACTCCCTATTTTATACCCGATATGTGGGCGGATTGAGGTGCCACTACTCGACAATAGACTTAATACCCCCGGGATCAGTATTTAGTGCAGATAAGCCCCTTTTATAGAAAAATGAACAATAGTACTTTTATGTAAATTAAACGAAGGGAAGCTAACACATTATCCTAGATAATTACAAAAGATTTCGGCAAAATTATAGTCTAAATCCCACCAAATGTTCTAATCTATATTTCTATCAAATCCGAAATTTCTGTATCTCGTTATATATATGTGCGATAAAATTTGAATATTTCAGTACAAACGGAAAATCAGGAAAATCTGGCCCGATATAAAAACACGTTTACCCAAACGAATAGTATACTCAGGTATTAGTCCCGAAATCGATGGGGCGTCGGGGCCCTTCCGAAACTTTCTAACGACATAACCGCGTGCAATTGATATGCCCCAAGAGTAGGCCCATTGTAAAGAAAGGAAAATCCCGATCCGAAAATCTTGCGAGAGTTAGTAGTCTCCAGCATCAGTATTCTTGTCGTGTAGGTGGGTGTCGGTTGCCTCCCCGTGCGGTAAACTCCGTTAGTAATTTGACTTTGTTATAACTCAGTTTTAGTTGTTTGTCGCTCTTGCCAGATTTATTAGTTTAATGAAATGTGCCAGTACGGCGTTTGTAATTACAACTTGAAATCTCAGCTGTTTAACTCGAAAACGATCTTTTAATTACACATATTATGAAGCGCTTTAATTTAGAATAAAGCCAGTAAAGTATATTAGGATTTTATTAAAGGAATCTTGAAAAAGGCCACTGAAGTATTTCATAACCAATTCGACTTAAGGTCCTTCAAGAAAAGAGCGTACCGATTCTCGAAAGGCCGGCAACGCACTTGTGAGCCTTCTGGCAGTGTGAGTGTTCATGGGCGGCGGTATCACTCAACATAAGGGGAGCCTACTGCCGTTTACCTCCTATTACATAAAAAAGGCATAATTTACTAGACACATTTAGGTACAATACTTCTTTCAAATATAAATAAAGTTTACCGACTTCAACCCATTAAATCAATATGAATATATTTATGCCGGAGCAATGGCGCTGGTATCGGCTTCCATTGTCATTATAACTATGTCACAGAGCTCTTAAATTAAAAAGGTCAAAATCTCATCAGTTTATAACCGTTAATAATTAACTTGATTAATTGGAAAATCGGATAAAACACAAGGGTTTATTCGATTTGCTAATATTACAAGATCTACAAATTAACAGACTATTTGATAGTCTGTAGTAATAGAACTTCTATAGTCATTATTATTAAAGTCAAAGCAATGGCGTTAGTGTCAGCTGCCATTGTCATTTAGAACGAAAATAAAATATAAATGAACGCTTTGACGTAAATATCATAAAATGTATATTATGTCTGGTTTACAAGGGATCTAGAGGATATATTATGTTGTGAAGACCTAGCGACGTCGACAAACACATGTAGCTAAAACCTTGATGCGATGTTACTTACCGATACTATAAAGATTTAAGCACCTAATAAATGTACACTACATCATATCTATATATGTAGGTCTATCAAATACGCTTATCAAGTGCCAATTATCGAATCAGTGTGGAAACGGAAAATAAAATTGAAAGGGGCTCTAGCCGAATTTCAAACTAGAAGGTCATAGTTTGGTGTAGGCATACATTAGTGTTTATCAAATTTTCATTCGTTTTATATATTCTCATTACATAGAATTTTATTAGTTTTAATCCAAGAAGCTAAGAACGGAACACAAATCAATTTGCTGTGACGGCTATTTGGTTTAAAGCGTAGTATTGTCGTGGCCAATTCCATTCAGTTTGAATAGCGTACACCGTTGGCTTCATCAAATTGCATTGAAAGGACGTTAGAGTACCCATCGAGTGTAGTGGGGGTAAAAATTTGAATGGGATATAGAGTAATGAAAGGTCCGTGATGCCCACTGGCTCTTCAGTTACTAGTTCCGAGTTACCGGTACAATAGATCGCCAGCAAGGAATCTGATATCGGAATTGAAGCTGAACTAACCACGTTATCCATATTTATGGCTTATTGAATTGTCGGAGCTATATTTCAATATTGACTATGTATTTCAATAGGTTAAGGTCTTATTTAATAAAGTCAATAGATTAAGATACGGCATGGATTCAACATGTACAGATGTAGACAGATTTTTATGTTTTTTTCATTTAAATTCAATACTTCATTAAAGTAAGTTTTTTTTTATAGAAAAAAAAAGGAGGAGGAGTAGGAGGAGATGATGCCCGTGGACACTCTCAATGCCAGAGGCCTCGCGAGTGCGTTGCCAGCCTTTTAAGAATTGGTACGCTCTTTTCTTGAAGGACCCTAAGTCGAATTGGTTCGGAAATAATTCAGTGGGCAGCTGGTTCCACATAGCGGTGGTGCGCGGCAAAAATTGTCTTGAAAAACGCTCAGTCGTTGAACGGCGGACGTCGAGGTTATACGGGTGGAATTTCGTATTTTGCTTCGACGTCCGATGTTGAAACTCAGCTGCAGGTATTAATCCGAACAATTCCTCTGAACACTCTCCATGGTAAAAAGTAGGTGATCAGCCTTTTCTACCTTATTAGCTTGAAACACGTTTTCCAAAAAACATTCTAGCGTAAGTTTTAAATAAACACTTGTAAGCATTTTGTTAAACATATAACACATGTATGTTTGACACAATAATAATACTACGGTAGGTCCGCCTGTTAGGCTACCAGCACCTAATAAATCCCAAAGTACAAAAGTGTTCTGTACCATACATACAATATTCTCAAAACGTAACATCTTCAATTCCGTTATAAAATTCCCGTTTACGTTAACAATAAAACGATTTTTATATGAAGTGAGAATAAAAACGACGCAAAACTTCCGCGGCGGAAAACGTGACTCGATTTCTGAGTTGTTTATCGACTTTTTAAATTTTCACAAGCGTATAGATTTAGTCAAATTTCTACATCGAACCGTTGAGAAGCGAATGCAGAGTCACGGAGGGTCTGTCCCTCGATCATGACCCCTGATCGTTAATGATCGCTTCCCTCATGTGACGAGATAATGTAGGTTACTGTGCAAACAGGCTAGGGATGTCTTTGATAGTTGGAATGAACTATATTGAACTGGTTAATTAGATGTCCTTTGTAAGCAAAATTTTCCATATTATATCATAAAACAAAAGTCTTAAACACTTTTGATGAGAGTAATAATGTATGAGCAGTGTTGGCCTAGTGGCTTCAGCGTGCGACTCTCATACCTGAGGTCGTAGGTTCGATCCCGGCTGTGCACCAATTTAAATTCTTTCTATGTGCGCATTTAACATTTGCTCGAACGGTGAAGGAAAACATCGTGAGGAAACCGACATGTCTTAGACCCACAAAGTCGACGGCGTGTGTCAGGCACTGGAGGCTGATTACCTACTTGCCTATTAGATTTAAAAATGATCATGAAACAGATGCAGAAATCTGAGGCCAAGACCTAAAGAGCTTGTAGCGCCACTGATTTATTTTATTTTTAAGTAAATATAATGAAGAGTATGGATGGGTAAGAAAAAATTGCAAGGTTCTTAAATATTTTAGTTAGAGATAACAGTCATAACAGTAGGCGTAACAGATATAATTTATATTTAATTAATATTATAAAAACAGTATAGTGAGATTGATTATCAAAATAATGCTTGCTTTGGTTAGCAAAGAAGAATGCCCCATAAGGACGAAAATCTAATGGTGAAAAAACTTCCAAATCGCTACAATAGAGCCTTTCAATGTAAACAAACAAATATTTCTTCTATATAATATTAATGTAAAAACAGTAAATCACTTCAGTTGGATTACATCCGCCTTGGCCACAGTTAAATTTAGCCCTTTTAAAACTTTAATAAGATTCTAAGCCATATTTTAAAGTTCACATACAATATTATGAACAACAGCATAATTTATAGCAAAAGAAAATAATACCGGCTTAATTGCGCCTACAATGACAAAAGATTTCTTCACCCTTTCTTGGTCGTAAATTAAATGCACTTGTGTACTTAGGATAGACGCATGACCATTAGGAGCCATGCATTAGATGCACAAATCATTGCGTCGTAATAGAATTGGTGTCGCATAACGAGCGGAATTGAAAACTGAGCTGTAACAGCAACACATAGAGTCGGTTTTCGATTAGACGGAGTGATTACAGTGATTTTTGAAAATACTTTATAGGAGCATAGACAAGGGATATTATGTTGGGGTATGGCATCCTGACCTACATCTCTAGAGACGAACTAAGTAGCATTAGTTTTGCAACTGGGAATAATATTTATTGGGTGCATTATGCATGTGACATTTTTATGTCTTCGGCGTTTGGTTGATTGTATTATGTTCCTTTTCATTGTAATGTTATATATTACTAGCTGGCCTGGCGAACATCGTACCGCCTAACAGTCGATTCCTTATTTTTTTTAAATACTTATTCTGCTATTCGGGACACCAGTCTAGCTAAGATAAAAAAAAGAAAGTTGAAAAGACAACAAATACATTATGTAAAAAAATAAAAATTTACCTTCCCGGAACCCCTCCACTAACACTTGAACTTTAAGATATGGTATTAATGTTCAAATTGACTTTTAAGTATTATTACGAATATTATGTATGGGAATATAGAAAAGTGTTGTTTTTAGACTTTTTCACTCAATTTTTTTAATTTTTCTCTCCGTAAGAACCATCCTCGTACTTCAAAGAATATTATAAAAAAAGAATTGGCCAAATCGGTCAAGCCGTTTTCATGTTATGTCGTGACAACGGAAAACGGGTTTCATTTTTACATATATAGATTTATATAATGTATTAAGTGGTATGAGTAAACAGTTTGATTTAGAGTTTTTATAATACTAATAATATATCTTATAGAATGATGAACTATTATTATCTAAGAAAATGATTCGTATGTAAATTTTGTGTGCTTTTAGTAGTTAACAGGATTTTTGTCATAGTCTCATGAAAAATCTGTGCATTGCGAAACAATTTTTCGACACTCAACCGCATGATCCAGCTTATATATTATGTAATTGATTAATGGAGTCTGTTTATCTATAATAAATATAAAATACATATATAAAATTTAAAGAGATATAATACGACATACTTTACTTATATTTAATACTAAAATACAAGGGATTGCAAAGATAATTCTAAGCAAAACTATGAAATTAATTTATATTCGTCGTAATTTATTTACACTCTGTGACACTTAAGGCAATTGTAACAGCAATTTTCTAGTAAATGAAACACGACAAAGGCGGTTTTGGCAGTCGCCGTAATTTGAATAAAATTACAAGAAAATTTATTGTTTAATTCTTGTCCCTTTAAACTGGGACAGTCGCAGCTGACTCCATTGTCTTCTAAATTACTATTTGGATAGCACTACAACAGTATTTGTTCATGCAAATAGGCATTTTGTTCTCATCCAGAAATGACAATATGAGACGTAAAATAGGCGGTGTGTTTTGTAAACAAAAAGTAAAATTTGACACATTAACATAAGCAATTAGTTTTGCAGCTGAGTTTTTAAATAGAGTGTATTTTTAACAGTTTTACAACACTAAGGAGTTCCTCAATCTACTACAAAGGAAATATATGTTATATTTAATGTATAAGATCATTGCTATTGTATTGTTTGATGTTGTATTGTCAACTGTTAGTGATATCGAAATAATCGAAACAAAGAATTTTTAATTATAGATGTGTGGGTGTATCAAATATTATAATAAACATATACGTTTATTAATTTTAATTTTAAAATATTTTTATTGTTATATACAGTCACATTAATTTTCATCATAAGTACTTTAATTAATAGATAATTAGATAAATAAGATATAATAATTTAATTTAGAATATGTAATATATTAACAGCGATTGATAGATCGTGACATAAAAGCTCTGTAATGCTAAAAGTTTCGCACGAAATTAGGCACGCGCGAGTGTTTTTATTATGAATTTTAAGGATTTAAGAATTTTGTTGAATTTCGATACATATCGAGAAGACAAAAGTATATTAATCTTAAATTTTTGTTGTCTGTAGTCTTAATTATAATAATAAAGCCTTTTGTTTCGGATAATAGAGTATTTAGGTCTTGTAACGACATTATATCTAGCACCAGCTCCATCATCCAAGTGACAAAGGCCTCCTCCACTCTTCTGCATTCAATTTCATGGCACACGTCGCGCCGCCATAAATTCCCCATCATGTTTGTGAATGTCTTTCCATCGTTTAGTTGGTCCCCTTCTACTACACTTTGCGCAACGTGGACACTATTCTGTTAGATTACTGGACCATTTCTCCTGATTCCCTCTTATAACTTGCTCAGTCAACTTCCATTTTAGCTATTTAATATTCGTTCCAATGCCCCTCACTCTTGTATACTGAATAAAGATCCTGGTTTCTCCATCATCTTTTCGTATGCCCCTTTCTATTTTCACTTGCAAGCAGTAGCAAGTTAATTACTACCAGAAATAATTTTAACGTTACATAGAACATGCTCAGCGAAATTGGTAAAAATCAATAAATACTGCGTCCCCTCTAATGCAATGATGGATTATGACACTTATCTTTAAGTGACATCGCTGACCGTTTTCCCACTTGTTTTAGACCTTGTGTACACATGAAATAAATTATAGTACACTACTAAAATTACTGTTCTTACTAAAGCGTTGATAAATCATCAAATAAATACAGCTTTACAATTTGACGTGCATTTTTTAAAGTAGAACATACTACTACATAAATATATAGATGTTATAATAAATGTAATTTTAAGATATATATGTATATGTGTTCGATGTTATAGAAGTATAGGGCAGCGCTAGTAAACTTAAACAACTTCAGGTTCTACTAAAAATAATTAAAATCTTCTTTCTTTATTTAACTCTTGCTCAGACTTACAAACAGTAGCCAGCATAACACTAAACACACATCTACCTAAAAGCAAAACGTAAAACGTAACTTTCTTTATTTTACTCTTACTCAGACTTACAAACTTTATATTTACATTAAAT